TGTGTAAGTGGCTTGATTACATAGACTTATTTGTTAGAATTTTTTATAATTGGCAACTTGTGATAATTGAGAAACTCAATGCCTTTTATAGAGTGCCATTCTTTCTCAACCCCACATATATTCAAAGATTCCCCTTTTATCATACCAGTGCAGCAGTGTCAACTCTGTAGCACAGTAGTAGCAGTAAGAGTGATAACCATTTTCTGTAATTGAGTCAATAGCTACATATCTAATCTGGGAGTTATGTTTAATGTTGATTATATTTGTTATCTTTTTAACTTCTTACTTATAGCCCCACATTTTCCAGCTTTTTGATTTTATAATGACAAAAGTTACTTGGAAGCAGTCCCAACCATTTATATCTGTGAAGGTCAAAAGCCAGCATTAGGTAGGACATCTGGAGATGGTAAAGTAGATTGGATAAAGATAAAGGGGACAGAGGAAGATGTTTAAAACTGTGGATGCACTGAAAAGTAGAAAATGTGCCAAGAGAATCCTTTATTTTTGCCTTGATATATTAAACTGCTCTTTCCTCCACTGTTTATCAGATTTAAATACCAGATTTTCTATTTAAAGGTAGTAATCCAAATTTGGTTGTCATTTAAATGGTGTCTAGGGAATTACACTTGCATTTTCTTAAATGTTATATATAAATATTTCTATTATAAGGAAAGCTTGTGAAGTAGAATGTTTTATATTGCTTGGCAACTTTTTTTTAAGGAAAAGATTTTTTTGATCTTCTGCACCTTAACAAGACTCAACTGTGGTTTTAGGGTAGCTAGTTACTGCCCCAGAAGATGATTTCAGGGTGTTGGTTTAAGACTTTCCTTTAAAGTGACCTTTATATAAACTTAACTTTTAGTGTTTATTGTAACTATCTAAGATTTCACTAGCTAAATGAAACGTTTCTGACTAACACTGGTCTGTCTAGAAATTTAATTATATTATTATTTTTGAAGTTGAATAGTTGTGGAAATACCTTCTGAGTGAGTCTCTTATTTTTTTTATTTATTTTGTATGTAATTTAAAGCAACAAAAAACTTTGATGACCAAAGCTACTCTCCCCTGAAATTCTTAATGGTGACTCGTGGATGTGTTCATGTCTTTATGGCTTCTCTGCTCTTTACTGAAACAGCAGCCAGCCTATCTTTCCGCCTTTTGGCATTTCATTTGTGGTTAGGCTTGGCAGGTTTGTTGCAAACAAATCTGATTGTTGGTTTTAGATTTCATGCCTCATTGACGCCTTTAGTTATTTGATCCCAAAAGGTGGTGATAACTTCTTATATATGCTGTCACTTATGACTTCCACAATTCTATTCTTCAATCAGAAATCCAATAAGTCAGGGAATTGATTTAATAATAACTAGGACATTTTTTTCCCAACAATGAAAAAGTGGTCACTTTGGTTCCTAGCCAATCTCAGTTTGGATAATTTGATTCCTGTTGGCCTGATTCTTTTCTTTGTTTTCACTTAAGGACCTTTGATTTCACAAAAGCCTCAGCATATTAACATTGAAATGTACAATGTGTTTATTTTTTATATTGTTATGTTCATATAAGGATGAATTTTCAATTCTGTTCTTATTTTTAAGTTATTTTTTTAATTTAATATTTATTTTCTCTGACTATATAGAAAATATATCTCTAATTTTAAAAATGAAAATATACCATTAACAAGACATAAAACTATTGTCATCTCACCAATAATATATTTTAAAAATTCTAATTTTAATTGTCAATGGTATGGTCTTCTTTTTCTTCAGATTTGTAGATATTACATACTGAAAATATTTTAAGAAATGCTTTATTATTAGAGCATAAACTGATAATTTTATTGTCAAAAAGTCTTAAGTTTATATTCTATAAACAAAGATTGCCTTCAAATTTTAAATATTTTTGGAAGCCATCCAGTAAGTTACTAGTTTAAATAGTAGAACAACATGGGTAGGAATTGACATTTCAAGTTTAGAGGATAACATTGGGGGAGTTTTTCCAGAAGTGTAATTATTAGAGATGCACTTGAAAGTACATGTTGTTAAGGTGTGGTGACCCAGCTGAGTGACATCTTCATGAATATTTTTTTTCAAATTAACAATGTAAGTACATATGTGACATGCATAGTTACATATCCTAAAACTTAATATGGCACTGAAATTTTTCTGTTGGTTCATAGTAGATAATTAGTCATGTGAACAGAGATAAAAACCACAGGTTCTATGATTAAACAAGACATTAAATAATTACAGATACATATGGAAACATAAGATTTAAAGATTTGACACTTACTTTAGCATACTGGTCCAGAACAATTTGAGCTGTGGAATCGAAATGTTTGTGTTTGCACCCTGGCATTTCCAGCTGTCTGATTTGGGCAAGTTATTTATGACTAACAAAAACGAAGTAAATCATTGTACCTACTTTGTAGCCTTATGCTCTGCAAATGTCAGTTGCATGATTGTTGTCATTGCTGTTATTGTTATTCTAGTGGTAAAATACATATCTGTTCTCTATGATGGCTTTGCAAAACAATTTTTCCATTACTTATAGTCATTATAAGAGTAGATATTTTCATGGATGTTGAGTGTTTTCAAGGTACATACTCACTTTTTTTTTAGTTATAGGTGGAAACAGTGTCTTTATTTTATATTTATGTGGTGCTGAGGATTGAACCCAGTGCCTCACACATGCTAGGCGAGTGCTCTGCCTCTGAGCCACAATCCCAGCCCCTCACTTTTTTTTAATGGCATACATTTTAACCCTGCCGAACAATATTTATTAAGCATTTATATAAGTAATCATTTACGTGTCTGTCTACTCAAATCTTTTAAACAAGTGTGTGTAAGTTTCAAATACAGTTACAATACAACTTTGTTCATGTACTTTTCTATGGATTTTCATTTAGTGGTTATCGTCTTTTGTTGTTGTTGCCAGAGACTGCTATACCCTTTGTGAGCTTGTTTTTATGTCTTTACATGCTTGCAGAAGTATTTCTTTAGACCAGATGTCTTAGTTTTGCTGGATTATAGGATACAGACATTTAAATTCCAAATTGACAGGGTCAGCAGAATTTTCTTTGAAACATAACTGCACTATTTTTCACTCACCGCTCATTTTCCCCAAACCATTATAAATGTTTGTCTTTTATTATTTGGCCAATTAGGTAAGTAATAGTTGCTTTTCTCATATTAATTTGCATTTTATTTATTAGAGAAGTAAATCAATTTTTAGGTATTTGATTATTTTCATTTTATTTAAATTGTCTCTTCGCTCTTTTTTTCCACGTCTTCCTTTCATTAATTTTTAGAAGCTCTTTATTTGATCTGTTTTATCTTCTCTGTGTGGTTAACATTTTCTCACAACCTTTTTCATTTGCTTATGGTATGTTTTCTTATGTAGATGTTTATATCTTTATACAGTCAGATCTATCAGATGGTTCCTTGGCAGCTTATGAGTTCATATTATTTTTTAAAGGTTTTATTCCCCAAATTATAAAATATCCTTGTTTTTCTAATAATTTTACCCTAATGTCTTTGACACTTAAGTTCATTGTGAGAGAATGATTAAAGTTTGTTTTCCTCTGAATACATAGCCAAACTCCTATAGCTTCTTTTTTAATAGTAACTTCAGAGTTACTATGACTATTTATAATTATTGTTTATATCATGGCCATCATTGAAGACCAATAATTGCCTGCACAATATTAAGCATTTTACATGTGTAATTCTTTCTAAGTCTTGTGATTACCTTTTGAGTTTGGCACAATTGTTATTTTATCTGTTTAATTTGTGGATAAAATTGCAGCATGGAGATACTAATGATTTGAGAGACCATGCAGCTAGAGAGCTGTAGAGTTAGGAGGCAAAACCTCCCATTTCTGGAACTGTTCCTCTAATCACTAACTGTCATGAAAAATTAAATTTAGGTGGGTTCCTTGTGGCTCATACCAGACAGGTTTCAGTATTAACAGTGCCCTGCTCCCTGCCCTAGGCTTCATTCTCCCTCCTGGTCTTGACCCTTCACCTGCGCCCCCTCAGTTCCCCCTCTCCCTGCCTCTATTCTCTCCTGATCTGTAGGGCAAGGGCAATCCTGTCCTCTCTCTCTTGTAGTCATCATTTCTTTGTGAGTACACAGTAACTGATCTGATTTTGACAGAATATAACACGTATGTCATAGAATTCTAGAGCTGAAATCTATTTATTTGCCAACCCTAAGAAGAGAGATTGTGAATCTGAACACAAAATTAAGTTGCTTTTCAGGCAACACTAATATTAATATTAGTTGAATAATTGCCATAGCAGGCTGTGTGTCACATTAAAATATTAATAAAATTAAAATTCATAGGATGTTAATGTTACTTTCAAAATTAAATTTTAAATAATGTACATGTAAAATGTTAGGCTCTTCATGAGGAGTGTTTGACATGAAGGTTTTTCCAGTTCTCTGAAGTTTCTTATCTTTAAAAACTAGTGTTTTTTAACCTCTTCAACTTTGTTCTACCCTTCTCCAAGTTCTATCATTTAAAAATATGCCATAGTTAGGGTGTTCTGCTGTTCTCTTGTACTACAGGGTGGCTGTAATGTGATATTAGATGCTGATAATGTGCTCTATATTTCAGAAAAATAGATTTGAATGTTTTCATCATAAAGACAAGATAAATTTTGAGGAGATAGTTCTGCTTACCCTCATGTGAACATTATGCCATGTTTACATATATTGAAACATGACATAGTACCTCGTAAAGATATATAATTTTATGTGACAATTTAAAACATTAAGATAATTAAAATGTAAAAATTTTTTAAATGTGCCATGAACACAGAAAGAGTAAAAGCCAGGGAATATTTTAGCAGAGTTTCTAATAGAAATGTGATTTGAATTTTATCATACTGAATTTTATATAGTTAGTCCATTTATTTTCCAGTGAAAAAACCCCAGTTTAACTCTGTGTGCTCCCAGCCTCAGGCTTTTTCTTACTCTGTTCTCTTGGTTTGGTGTCTCAGTCTTCAGGAACCAGTATTACTGTGGATATTGCTGTGATGGGCGAGGCGCATGGCCTCATTACCGACCTCCTGGCAGACCCTTCTCTGCCCCCAAATGTGTGCACGTCCCTGAGGGCCGTGAGCAACCTGCTCAGCACGCAACTCACCTTCCACGCCATTCACAAGCCCAGGGTGAATCCTGTAGTTTCCTTCAGTGAAAACTACACCTGCTCTGATTCTGAAGAGAGCTCTGAAAAAGACAAGCTGGCTATTCCCAAGGTAGGTACTGAGGACACACCCTTAAAAAGCTTAGCCTTTTTATATTTTAATTGTCTCTTAGGTTTCCCTCACAGTCCCTCCAAACCCATCTGTATATTCATATCAATTACTTCAAGAAGATGAGTTGATTCTGGTGGCAAAAATAATAAAACCTTAAACTCGAACACTTCTGTCATAATACTTGATTACTTTCTACAAATAGAAAACTTACCCTTTTTAATTATACTTGTTAAGAGGTTTTTTTGTTTTGTTTTGTTTTGTTTGCTTGTTTGTTTGTTTGATGCTGGGGATTGAAAGCAAGGCCTCATGCATGCTAGGCAAGTGCTCCACAATTGAGCTATACTCTCAGCCCCAGGATTTACTTCTGTGTGCCTGGCTGTGTTGTAGGTGATGAGGATATTGCAATAAAACACAAACAAAATAACAATGAGAAGATAAAAAACAATACCTGCTCTGTTCTCATGTGAATTCTGTTTAAAACACACTGCCTTGTAAAACTGAAGGTTCCTTTGCTCTTTGATTTCTTAGTGAGACATATTTCAAAGTGCCTTTATGAATTTCTCAAACACGTTTTGAACTCAGAATGGTTTTAGTTATTTAAGATTATTAAAGGTATAAGGTGGCCTTACTGATTTATATATACTCAAGAAATGATACAATTTCTTCTTTTTACAAACAGGTTGGATATCCCTTATCCAAAAATCTACCCGAAAATGGTCCAAAATCCAAAACTTTTTGAGCACTAACATGGCACTCAAAAAAGTGCACATATTGGAATATCAGATTTTTGTATTGGTTAGTTTAACTTGTAAAATCGATGCAAGTATTTCACAATACAAAAAAAATCTCCAAAATCTGAAACACTTTGGGTCTCATGCATTTCTAATAAGGTATGCTCATCCCCTCTTAAGATAGGTGTTTTTCAAAAGTAAATAGTACAGGCATGATCCTATGCCTAGTTCAGACCTCAGTATTAGTTAAAATTAAGTTATATTAAAGACAAAATGTCATTGTTTCCATGGCCTCTGGTACATGCAGCATGGTTGTTACTCAGTAGACAAGCAGCTGTGTCCTTGAGCTGGTGGTCAGTCAGTAGCATCCATGTCTGTCATGGAGTCTCTTGGGCCAGGAATGTGATCCTTATAATTTTATCAATTGAGTATTTATAGAGTTTCTTTCAAACATTCAGTTCTCCAAAAAAGATATACCAAAGCACGATATGAAAGTAAAGAAATTGAAAGATTAACTGATTCCTTAGGGTCTCAAAAAAGAGTCGTAATTCAAAACTTGGCAGATGAAAGTGTTTGTCTTTTCCTCCTTAATTATCTTCTTGAATGCATATTTACACCTTTAGGACACATTGGAAACTATTGAGTGCCAGAGTTGTTCTTGAATCCCAATGGGTCACCTACTTTACATCTCAAAAGTTTTGGCACCTTCAGAAGAGCAGAGAGTGTCCTTGTAAACTACAGCTACACAGTTGGTTTACAGGAGTGATTAACCAGAAATAAAAGTGGGTGGAGGATCTGCCTATTAAGCCTGTTACTGAAGTTGCATCGAGAGCACACCTTCACTTTGGTTTCCAAGATTGAGACTCTCTTGAGAGTGCTGGTGCCCATGATGGCAAGCCCAGGCCTTGACCTCAATGCCGATGGCACCAGTTCCACTTAGGATATGTTAGGACCACCAGTGGCACAGAGAAGAAACAGCGGGTTCCCATCAGGGCTTCTATTCAGAGAAGTTGATACTGGTGGATTTACCCCTATCTCTGATGACTCAATCACATTACCATAGGGAAGTGGTGTTTTCTATGAAAGAGTCCATTCTTAGCTCCTATGATTTCTCAAGATCATAAAAACAACCAACAGAACTTGTGTGTATAGACCATTATGTGCAATGATATAAATTAATCCATGTCCCAAACAAGTGACTTTGTGAAAAATACTTCTCATAATAACTAATATAATATGTGTATATAGGTATAGATGTCCTATAATAATGTAACTATAAAATTTCTCCAGAGGTAATTTAGTCTCATTCCTATAATCTATATTTGTATAAGCATTGCAGAGCAGACCCCAAAATGTTATTTTTTAAAAATGCAGTCATTTTGGCCAGAAAGTATTTTATTGAATTTCTGCATATCCCAATTTTATATAGACAATATTGAACCATTGTGGTTTCATCATTAATTCCAATTGAAAATTATTTTCTTCTATTCTGTTACATGAAAGTTAGTGTTACAAATGTGCTTGGCAAATAAAATCAATACGTATTCCTTCCTAGCGCCTCAGAAGAAGTTTGCCCCCTGGTTTGTTGAGACGAGTTTCATCAACTTGGACAACCACCACTTCGGCCACAGGTCTGCCCACCTTGGAGCCTGCCCCGGTTCGGAGGGACCGTAGTTCCAGCATCAAGCCTCATGATGCACCTTCTCCCAGGTTAGTCAATGCTCCTGCTGGTTTCATGTCTTTTAGAGAATGTTCTTAACCAAAAGGAATTATAACTTATGAGAGAAGGGAAGCCTAAGTAATTATAGTTGGTTATAGACCAGCATTATCAGTGGAAACATTGTGTAACTTAAATCAGATAATTAGGCTTAAATTTTGTTGTGGGACTTCAAGTATAAGAAGAAAGTGTGCCCTGAGATGATCCCTGCAGTTGTGACCTTGAATGGAAAGGGTTGAGTCCAGGAGTAAAATGTAGGACAATAAAAGGTACACAGAGATGCATACATCAAAAGTACCTAACCTGCTGGGACTGTTGGTGCACAACTGTAATCTCAGTTGTTCAAGAGGCTGAGGAAGGAGAATCGCAAGTTTGAGATCAGCCTGAGAAACTTAGCAAGACCCTATATAAAAATTTTTTTAAAAATTATAAAAGGGCTGAAGCTCCCCTGGATTCATTCCCTGGTACTGCCAAAACAAAAACAAAAGCAAAAAACTAGGCTGACATTTGCAAGTCATTGTTAGAGTCCCCTATCTCATCAGCAACTGTCCTATCTCTGTAGGAAAGGCAGAAAGGTAGATCACCATTCTAAGACCACCATTCTGTTCAAACATTTGGTAATTTAAACATTTTTGTTTATGTGTGTACAGTATTGGGAATTGAACCCAGGGCCTCGTGAATGCTAGGCAAATTCTCTACTGCTGAACTGCATCACCAGTAGTAATTCACTACAGAGCAACTTTATTTCGTAAACTAATTCCCATTTTACAAAATGACTATTTAGCTTTTTGTCACTGTGATAAAATATCTAAACAATCAACTTATTAATTTAAAAGGTTTATTTTTACTCACAGTTTCAGGGCACACACCCAGTGATCTAACTTCTTTCCACCAGGCTCTACCTCCTAAAGTTTCTACCACATCTCATGGACTGGTGACCAAGACTTTAATGCATAGGCCTTTAGGGGAAATTCAGGATTCAAACTGCAGCAGTGACTTAAAAGCCAGAAATAGTAAAGCTAAAGAAAAGATAATATTATGATCATAGAATGAATTTCTAAGAAAACATCTACCAAAAGAAGTCCTTTTACAGGAAGCTATTATGTTTGTTCTTTTCTAATTTGAAGAAAAATAGCATTCTTTATATGAATTCAATAATTCTGAGAACATATGCCATATGATTTCAGGATTTTGAAAGATATATGTCAGTTGACCTAATGAATGAAAAAAAATCCATATCCATTGAATTATATAATAGCAATACTAATAGTAAATTTCTCCTTATCTTAGTCTCTAATATAAATAAAGTATCATGCTGACATTGGCAGAGAAATTGAAATGTTCCATCTAATAAGAATTTAAAGACTGCTCTATGTGTGTAATAAGAATTGTAATGCATTCTACTGTCATATATAAATTTAAAAAATTAAATACTGCTAACTTTTCTTGCTTTCTTGATTAAAGATGTTTAATTGGTTTCTTTCATATAAACGTTTGTGTTTTAGTAAACCAATAGAATCAGAAACAAACTCAAATGATTCTTTCATATATCTGTGTAATTTCACTATGTCTTCTTACCTGGAATTTTGTAAACTTATAAATGCCACCATGGGAGAAAGTTACTCACCATTCCAGGAACACTTTTTAATGGTTGAAATGAGAAGTCATTGCTAATATTTTTCTTTAAAATGTTGGCCATTTTCAATTTCTATAGCATCATATATTAAAAAATGACAGCGCAGAGTATTATAGTTAAATATTGCATAATAAAATGAATTATGTCCTCAGTGTACATCATTACTTATTTTACCAATGCATTTTAGTAAGTTCTCTGTGAGGGTATAGTTAATTTCCATAGAATGACATGCCTTCTCAAATGTCTTCTTTCCTTCTGTTATTCTTTGTTATTTTTTGTCAAATTTCATTTCCCCCATTCTTTTCTTCAAGTCAATTATATGAAATTGGAGGCTGAAATTGAAATCATCATAAGGAAGAGGGTTCCAAGAAAAGTTATGAGCTTAATTCCCAAAGATCCTGTCATTTTGCCTCATAAAATAAATATGCAGACTCAAATATTTGTAAAAGAGATAAGAAATAGCTTATCCCACTCAATCTCTTTCCCCTAAAAATAGTTATAGATGTCTTCTTGGGTATAGTTTTTCCCACTGTCTAAGCTACTACCTCTAAATTTCACTATCCTGTTAAAAACTCCTGATTTAAAATTTGAAAATGATACGACTTTTTTTCACTATTATGAACACGTGAAATTGATCCTGACAGTATTTAGCCCTTTAAAGAAAAATCACATATAAGTTAATGGCCATAGTACCACCATTAAATACAACTGGTTTGAGTCATTAATTAAAAGTCATGATTAAAACCCCCTTCACCTAGGAAAACTGTTAGTCATACTGCTGATTGATTTCAAAACTGGTTTGAGTTTTAGCCCTGAAGTTTCTTCCCTTTTAGCTTTTTATTTATTTATTTCTACATTTGACCTTTCATTGGAACTCTTTGAGAACTTCAGTGATCCAAAGAAGAAAGTGAGAAGTAAAAATTAAAAACAGTTCACAACTTACATGACTTTAAGTATGCAGCTGGATAGGTTCCTCTTGGGAAATTCTAGACACAGTCTGGTAGAGAGGACCATGGGCTGAAGGTCAGAAGGATCTGGACCATGCAGACACGTGTGTTCCAAGAGGCCATGAGCCTCCGTTCCCTCTGAGAGGAGTCATTACAGAAGGAGACTGTAGCACAATTGCAGGGATAGACTCGATGGAGGAATACAAGTACGTGGTTTAAAAGTGTAGACTTAGAGAAGTAGAAAATGCTGACTTAAATCATGTTCTAAATTATTCCAAGTTGACCTTGAAACTGGCCTCTGTCTACTAGGGAATAAAGGAGCAATTTACTTGACAGTAGACTGTTACCCAGTAGGAGTTTTCATACTGGACTTGTTAGAACTGGAGGTATAAAAATTTACTTTTGTGAAAGAGGGTTGCAATCTTCCATAATAGCCATAGATTATTTTCCTCGCTGTGTTACCATGAGAAAACCACATGAAGATTTCCCTAAGCTGTTTCATCTGCAGAATCCAAATTGTTCTTTTGTCATGAGATCTAAACTGGAATCAAGAAGTGAGGATCAAAATAGGAGAATGGGGGTCAGAAAGACGGTGGAAAGAGATGGACATCATTACCCTAGTATATGTATGAAAACATGAATGGTGTGACTCTACTTTGTGTACAGCCAGAGACATGAAAAATTGTGCTCTATTTGCGTAATGTGAATTGAATTGCATTCTGCTGTCATATATAACTAATTAGAATAAATAAAATTAAAAAATTAAAAAGAAGAAGTGTGAAGGTCAATGAAAAGCTGAAAATTGCTGTGCAGCCCAGATCACACAAAGCAATGTATGAAAGTGCCTGTAAGCTGTCATACATTTATATAAAGAGTATATGTAGATTTAATCTAATTTAGTAATATTATAAATTAATATATATTATATTAAAATGAGATAGCACTGGCTGGGATTTTATTTATCTTGACTTCATTACATCTCTACACATTAAGGTTACTGTACTATTGTGCCTTTCAGGCTTTTCAAAAAAACATTTTAAATATTTTTATTTGGGAAAAGCCACAGTAATAGATAGTTTTTGAGCTAACCTTCATCAGACACCATTGAAATATTAGAAATGATAGTAAGGTCTTATATTTTAAAAGTTCACATAGAAGAGTGATCATTTATTCATTATATTGTGGACTAAAAAATGAAAATATTTAGGCTACATATACATAGCACAAAATTTATTCACAGTAAATCTTATCAGTTAATCCAGCAAAAGAAACTAGTACCATAAGAAAACAGTTGGCTAGTTCTCTGCCTCACACCCTGGTTTTCTTTGATTTATTATTTACACAATTCAAACCATTTGTGAAAGACTTAGGATGAGATTTCTAAGAAGGACCTGAAACAAATATTTTACATGCTTTCTTTAATTATATTGGATAATTTGCTTAAGTTCATTCTGCATTTTGGATATCTCCTTTATGATAATATATGGTTGACCATTATTAGAAGTAAAGAGAAAAGTTGAAGTACCTGGGTCAATAGTTGAAGAAAATTTCTCCAAATATAAAGAGAGGGAAAAATGAAATATACCATGAGTGTCAATGCATCAGATTGCCCTCAACACAAATTACAAATGTCACTAATTATCCAGTTTACTGATAATGCAAGGATCCAGGCAGTAGCATATATAGCATTCTTCCCTTTGAGAAACCTGAGACTGTTCTTGTATTGCCTAAGTGTCCCTTTTATTCCATATTAGCTTTTGTTCTGGTTTGGATTAACATGCAGGATTCTAAGCAAGGGAAGCATAATGTTGCTTGTCCACTATAACCGCTTTGGCTATAGACTCCTTAAGATTATACTGCATTAATTATTCAGCTATACAACAATCTCTCTATATAGATGACTCCAAAGTTCTACCAATTTCATGTTTACTTACAGTAAGCCATCAGGAACGATCAGCCATATCCTGCCCACAGTGCCAAACTAAACTCAGCTAAAGATCAAATTGTCACATAATATTCATGCAGATTAAAGATTTTTACCAAATTAACAAGTATATATGAACTCGATAAATAGGAATGTTATCTCTTCTCTTACTTTAAATGGTATGCTTCATGAATCACTGATGTATCCCCTTCAAGATACTAAGCTCAGATAACCTGTTTTGTCATTTGAAAGTAAAGTTATTCTTTCAGTGAGCCTGGGCCCATATCCAGATTGACAAGTCTATTATGAAAATTATGGTTTTGTTCTGGTAAGATTTGCCCAATAGTTGAGTAATTTATTCATTAGTGGTAAATTCTGTCTTTACAGTGCTATTAATTCAGATTCTTGGAATAACCCAGTGATGATGACCCTCACCAAAAGCAGATCCTTCACTTCATCCTATGCTGTTTCTGCAGCTAACCACGTAAAGGCTAAAAAGCCAAATCGACCAGGTTAGTAACTTATGAGGAAAAGAGTTTATACTCTAAATGCTCTGTCATGGAGTGACCAAGCTTTGAGTACATAAAAATATTATGAAGGGAAACTAAACTCAGATGTCTTTGGTTCAACTACTCTGTAAATTTCAATAACGGATTATTTATTTAAATTTCCACTTCATGTAATCATACAGATTCTTCAAGGTTGCTGTACCAGATTTTCTATCTTGAACTTATTTAGTAGGAAATCAGATCACCACTAAGGATAATTTCTTGAGCACCACCTTTTAAATGTCAGTTTTACTTTTAGCGTCTGTTAAACATAGATTACTTTTCAGGAATGTGCTGTATGTGTATTTGAGGAAATGCTTCATTTGCTATACATGAGCTATGACAAGGAATTTAGATATCACAATTAAGAATAATAGAGTTATAGGTAAGAAAATGAAATGAATTGGGGAAAGATTATCTTTTGGCAGAGCACTGAGCTATATCCTCAGTTCTTTTTTATTATGAGACAGGATCTCCCTAAGTTGCTGAGGGTCTTGCTAAATTGCTGAGGCTGCCCATGAACTTGTGATCCTTCTCCTTCAGCCTCCCAAGTTGATGGGATTACAGGCGTGCACTACTGAGCCCTGCAGGTTACCTCATTTGACTGGAGTGTGTGCTAGTCTGTCTCTGAATTGCTCTTTTCCTAGAATCCCAGATTCTAGGTGTATTTACTAGGGTGTTTACTCTGACATCGTCCTCTTATAGAATAACTAACTCGTAAGTTTTTACTGCTCCGTAGAAAACTTTAACAAGATTTTAGTTACTTCCTGCTTGGTTTCTTAATTTTCTCTTGAGCAGCTAAAGAATTCACCAAATGGTTCAAGGGAAAACTCTCCTTTCTTACTGGGATAGTAGACATTCAAATTATGACTGCCATGGGGGCCCCACTCTCCCAATATTTTATGTTGTCACCCTCATTTCTGCTAAAAGCTCTGCTGGCTTCCTTCCCTAATGTCTTCATGCCTCTGCCTACATTCTTAGTCTGTCTTGTTTTTTTGACACCAATTTTATTTTGATTTTACATTTTTTTTGTATAATCGTTTTTGACTAAATGTGCAGAATAAAAATTAAATACTCTGATAATTACAGACATAGATATTAAATGTGAGTAAATGTTCTTTTTAGCAAAAGAGAGACCCAAACAATTGCATCACATGAAGTCCAATTCTATCACTGTTAATTTATTCAGAGGAATTATTGGCCACATTTGCAAAGATTTTTTTACTATAATTATTATTGCATGTTAGTTGAATAGATTAATGACTTTGTGACTTTTCTATACATGCATACATTATGTTTTGATCATATCTACCCCTCCCACTAGTACTCTCCCATACTTTCCCCTCTCTTTGTCTTGGTTCCCTTTCCCTTCTCTTTAAAGTCTCTGTTGTACTTTCATGTCATTTTTATTCTTTCCACATGAGAGAAAACATGCAGGACTTGTCTTTATGTGTCCAGCTCATTTTGCTTAACATGATGTGCTCTAGTTTCATCCATTCTCCAGCAAATCACCTGATTTCATCCTTCTTTATAGCTGAGTGATTCCACATTGTGTATATATACATACCATATTTTCCTTATCTGTTCATCTGTTAATGGCTACCTAGGCTGATTCTATAACTTGACTGTTGTGAATAGTGCTGCAACACACATAAGTGTGCAGGTATGTCTTCAGTACACTGACTTCATTCCCTTCAGGTATACACCCAGGAGTGGTATAGCTCTATGATATAGTAGTTCTCATTTTAGATTTTTGAGGACTCTTCATACTGTTTTGCATAGTGGCTGTACTAGTTTCTATTCCCACAAACAGAGTATAAAGTTTCCTTTTTCCTTACATCCTTACCAGCGTTGTTTATTTTTTGTTCTTTTGATAGTTTGCCATTCTGACTGAAATGAGATGGAATCTCAATGAAACATTGATTTGCATTTCCCTGACAACTAAACGCGTTAAACATTTCCCCTATATTTATTGGACAGTTGTGCTTCTTTTTTTTTTTAATGAGTGCATTTTAATTATACAGAATAATGAGTTTCATTGTGGCATATTCATACATGCAAATAACATACTTTGATCATATCCACCCCCAGTACCTCCCTTCCCTTACTCTTTCTGATCCCCTTCCTCTTCTGTAGTAGTCTCCCTGCTACTCTTGTATCTTTATTTTTTTTTTAACCTCAGTTCCACATATGAGGGAAAATAGGCAATATTTGTCTTTCTGTTTCCGCCTCATTTTGCCTAGCTCTATGATCTTCAGTTCTATCCATTTTCCTACAAATAATGTGACTTTGTTTTTCTTCATAGCTGAATAATACTTCTTTGTGTATGTTTACCACATTGTCTTTACCACACTCTTCTGTTGATGGGCACCTAGGCTGATTCCATAACTTGGCTTTTGTGATTAGTGCTGCAATAAACATGGGCTGCAGAAATCTCTATACTATACTGACTTTAATTCCTTCTGATATATACCAAGGAGTGGTATTCCTAGATCATATGGTATTTCTATTTTTATTTGTTTTTTGAGAAACCTCTACATTGATTTTCATAATGGCTATAACAACTCACTTTCCCACCAATGGTCTATGACGGTTCCTTTTCCCCTGCAACTTCACCAGCCTTATTATTTTGTTACTCTTGATGATAGCCATTCTGACTGGGATGAGATGGAATCTCTGTGTAGTTTTAATTTGTATTTCCCTGATGGCTGAAGAAGTTGAACATTTTTTCCTATATTTATTAGCTATTTGAACTTCTTTTGAGAAGTGTCCTTTCAAAACTTTTGCCCATTTTTTTGATTGGACCACTTGAACTTTTGTGGTTAAGCTTTTTGAGTTCTTTATATATTCTAGATATTAATCCTTTGTCAAATGAAGAGCTATCAGATTTTTTCCCATTTTGCATATTGGGACAACTTCTGTTGATTGTTTCCTTTGCTGTTCAGAAGTCTTTAATTTGTTATAATAAAGTTGTCAATTCTTGCTATTTCCTGAGCTATAGGAGTTCTAGATAGGAAATTATTGCCTGTACCAATATCTTGAATTCCTCTGTTTTCCTCTTGTTATTTCAAACTTTCAGGTTTTACATTAAGATCTTCGTTCCATTGAGCTAATGTTTGTACAGGTTAAGAGATAGGGGTCTAATTTCTGTCCTCTCCATCAATATCTAGTTTTCCCAACACCACTTTTTCAAGAGTCTGTTTTTCCTCCATCATTTGTCTTTGGCACCTTTGTTGAGAATCTTATGGTTGTAGATACATGGGTTTATATTTTGAAATCAGGTATTGTGATGCCAGAAGCATTGCAATATTTGGCATATTTTTGTGCTTCGAAGTGAATTTTAGGATTGTTTTTTCTAGTTCTGTGAAGAATGTCATTGTCATTGGTATTTTGATGGGATTGCATTGCATCTCTAGATCCCTTCAGGTAGTTTAGCCATTTTAACAATATTGATTCTCTCAATCCATGAACATGGAAAAGTCTTTCCATCTTCTAGCTTAATTTCTTTCTTCAGTGTTTTATAATTTTCCTTATAGAGGTCTTTAACCTCCGTGTCTAGGTTTATTCTTAGCTATTTTATTTTTCATTTTGAAGCTGTTGTGAATCGGACTTTTTGTTTTTTGTTTTTTTCTTTCTCAATGAGTTTATTGTTGGGGTATTAAGAAACCTCAGATAAGAAGCTGTGCTATGTGTCAAAATGCATTCTAATGTCATGTAAAACTAACTAGAACAAATTTTAAAAATACCAAAAAAAAAAGCTATTCATTTTTGTATGTTGATTTTGTATCCTGAAACTTTGTTGGCTGTTCTTCAGTTCTGAGGGTTTTTTTTTTTTTTTTTATTCTTTGGGGTTTGCTAGGTATAGAATCATATCATCTGCAAACAGTCATAATTTGACTTCCTCCTCTACTATTTGTTTCTCCTTTATTTCTTTCTCTTGTCTCATTGCTGAAGTTTCCAGTAACATTTGAAAGAGTGCTGAGAGTGTTCACCCTTATCTTGTTCCTGCTTTTAGAGAAAATGTTTTTAATTTTCTCCATTTAGTTTGATATTAACAATGGGTTTGTCTTATATGGACTTTATTATATTGAGGTGTAATTCTTCTATACCTTGTTTATTCAGGATTTTATCATGAAGGGCTGTTGGATTTTGTTGAAGGCATTTTGTGTGTCTATTGAGATGTATTTTGTGCTTGATTTTGTTTATGTGGTATATTACATTGGTTGATGTGCATATGTTGAACCAACCTTGCATCCCTGGAATGAACCCCACTTGATTGTCATATAGTGTTTAATTCGATTTGCAAGTATTTTATTGAGAATTTTTGCATGTGTATTTATTAAGGATGTTGTTTGGTAATTTTCTTTTTTTTTGTGGTATCTTTATCAGGTTTAAGTGGAAGGGTACTATTGGCTTCATGGGATGAGTTTGGATAAGTTCCTTCCTATTTTTATTTATTTATTTATTTATTTATTTTGCAATAGTTTAAGGAACATTGTTATAAGTTCTTTAAATGTCTGATAAAATTTAGCTGAGATTGTATCTGCTCCTGGGCATTTTTTTGTTGGGAGACTTTTTATTATTGCTTTAATAATAACACTTCTTATTGAACTATTTAAGATTTTTTTGTTTGGTTGGTTGTTTGTTTTAATATTCTCTTGGGTTTGGTTTTCCTGGTACATAATGTACCTAGAAATTTGTCCATTTCTTCTAGACTTTCCAGTTTATTGACATATAATTTTCTAAAGAATTTCCTAGTATCTTATGAATTTCAGTGATATCTGTTGTTAAAATCCCCTTTTTAACCTCTCATCTTACTTACTCGAGTCTTCTCTCTCTTTGGTAGTTTGGCTAAGGGTTTGTCAATTTCACTTATTTTTAAACTCATTGTTTCACTGATTCTTTGTATTGTCCTTTTAGTCTCTATTTCATTTATTTCTGCTCTGATCTTTATTATTTCTTTC